ATCAGGGGAGATGTCGTGGGCCTGGCCACGGTAACTATCCACCACCCCCTGGTCATCCCCCCCTCTTGGCCGCCCCCGAGATTGGGGTCGATGCGTCCCATCCTCAGCCTATCCCTGACGTTGTCCCCGAGGCTGAAAAGGGCCCTGGTCGTTTTCGGGCCCAAAACTCGGGCCTCCAGCGGTTGTTCGGGACGATCCAGGCACCCCAGGATTGCCTTCGGCGAGAGGCACAACTGCCAAAGGGCACCCCGGGGCTGAAACGCCGCCGAGACCCCGCGAAAACGCCCCGAAACCGCAAAAAGCTCGAACCTCGAATATCGAGAACCGCCGAGAGCCGACGACACCGACCGACACCCCGAGCCCCGAGCTGCGAACCCCTGGGCCTGCTAAAACAGGGCTAGGATCGGGATAAATCGCTCCAGAGCGTTCCGGAGCGCTCTCAGAGCGTTCCGGAACGCTCTGGAGCGGCCGCGGCGTCCGATACATCCTCCAAACCCGCCGATTCTCGGAGATTTCGACTTATCCCGATCCGATTTTGTCCAGATCTTCGCGTCGTTTTATCGGGGATGGACAGACCCCCCTTCAGTAAAACGTGGTTTAGTGAAAACGACCTGAGGCCCAAACCTGGCGGGCGCAAGCCTGGAAAAGGACGGCCGCGGCGCCCTCTCGAGAACCGAACACGGACAATTCACTAATCGACCTGTCACTGTTGGGGGTTCTGTCCACCCCCGATTTTACCTGCCCCGCCTCGCGCTGCCCCTGCCCCTTCGTCCGGCCCGCTCCTGGCGCGCGCCTGGCGAGAGGCCCCAGGCCGCCGATACGCCCTGGCTTCTCTCGGTGCGAATGGCGCGGCCAGCCAGCCGCCGCCCCCCGGGGGCCGCTCGGGGCCCCCTCCCCCCGGAGGGGCGGGCGCTCCGCCCAGCGGCCGCTCCCGCCTGGAGGCAGGAGAGGGCCGCCGGGCGCCCGCGCGGACTTCGCGGATCGGCGGGGGGCCTCCGCGAGCCGGAGTCGGAGGAGTGGGAGGAGCCAGAGGAGCCGGAGGAGTCGGAGGAGTCGGAGGAGGCGGAGGAGGCGGAGGAGGCGGAGGAGGAGGAGGAGGCGGAGGAGGAGGAGGAGGAGGAGGAGGAGGAGGAGGAGGAGAAGGACGGGGAGGAGGGGGAGGGGGAGGAGAAGGAGGAGGAGGAGGAGGAGGAGGGGGGTCCGGCGCCGATGCAAGAAATCCGCGCGGAGCTCCGAGAGTCTGTGCTGATGGCGCCTTGCCTTCCTCGATGCCTGACGGCGCCAGGGCCCGACAGCGGCTGCTGCGGGCCGAACAGAGTGGGGAACCACCTCGACCGGAAAAGCCTGGCGTCGGAAGCCTGGGGCGGTGGCAGCGGAGAGGGCCCCGGTCCGCGCAATCCGCGGTCGGGGACCCTAAAAAAACATGTCCAAAAAACATGTCTGTTGCCACGCGCCGCTGGGGTCGCGGGGCTGGAACGTTCAAACTCAGAGGCTTCCCAAGTGGGTCCGAGTAGACTGCATCGGAGGATCGCGCCGCACCGCCAATGCATCGGCGGTATATTGGTGATGCATAGGCGATGCATCGGCGACGTCGGCGTGGAGATTGTCGGGCTTCACGTCGAGCCGCATCGCCGATGCATCGTCGATGCGGCGCGATCCTCCGAGCCCATCCACTCCAACCCCGTCTGGAAGGCTCCTCCTCCTCCTCCTCCTCCCCCTCCTCCTCCGCCTCCTCCTCCTCGTCCTCTTCCTCCTCCTCCTCTTCCTCCTCCTCCTCCTCCTCCTCCTCCTCCTCCTCGTGCATAGGATTACGATTCGGAGCAACACCGTCGACGTTCTTGGCATCGCTTGCACGCTGTCGGGCCTCTGGGGGCCTCTGAAGGACTCCGGGGGTCCCTGGAGGGAGAGAGAGAGAGAGAGAGAGAGAGAGAGAGAGATCTCCAGAGATCCCTGGAGACCTCCCTCTTCCTCCCTCCTCCCGCCTCATCCTCTTCCTCTTCCTTCCCCTTCCCCTCCTCCTCCTCCTCCTCCTCCTCCTCCTCCTCCGTCTTCCTCTCAAAAGAGGTCTGGCTGTAACCCGCACTCTTTGCTACACCTGCGTAGCCGCTTCTGTGGGAATCGGGCGCGTGCTTCACGCCCATACTCGATCAATAAATCCTCAGGTGTGCCCGTTGTGCTCCAAGGTCCAGCTGCACCAATCGCACTTCACAAACACCAGGTGAACACCTCCCTTGGTTTGCGAGACCCGGGAATGGCATGTTCTCAACGATGAAAACCGACGTTGTAGATCTTCCTTGTGGGTCATGTTGTGACCGACTCGGGGGCCTGGTGGGACCCTCTGGAGGCCTTCCTGCTGCTCTGCCAGGTTCGAACACGAAGATCTACGCTGTTGGTTTTCCTTGTTGCCCATCCTGTGACCGCCACAGGGGCCATCCTTGGACCCTCTTGCGGCCTTCCTGCGACGTTGGCAAGTTCCTAGCCCAGAACGACCTCGTTCCGCGCGGTCTGGACCACGATGGCCCCAGGCCGTTCGCACCATCGGACAACCGTGCCCAAGAGGGTAGCGACTCCAGGAAACTGGGGGGGGGGCTGATGCGCCCCAGAGCCATTTTACCTCAAGTCCTCCCTCCTTTGATCGTGTGCTTTTCGGTGGAAGGTCTAGTGGCGGAGGTACTGGCGCCCAGGCTGGGACTCACGGGGGGTGCGGCGCCTCAGTCGAAGCCAGGTACCAAGCCATGCGACGTCCTGATTTTTTCAGGACGGCGTCCCTGAAGTCCCGACACGCTCCCCCAGGTCCGGTTTTTCGGCGTGAGTCGTTTTTGGACGGTCCCGGGGCCCAGCGAGGGCCCCCAGGGGCCAAAAGTAGCGAAAAACCTCCGCCCTGATTTTTTTGCGTCGCGATCACGTCTGGAGGCAAGACGTCTGCCTGGCCGCCTGCCTCCAGGCAGTCGGCCCGACAACGACGTCGAGGCGCGGCCCCGCGGTGCCGAGCTCGGGGAGCGGCAGCGGGCAAACCGCTCGGGGTGGGTCCCTCGCTGGCCCCTGGCAGGGCCATCCCCCTGCCAGGGCGAGGGAAAGGTCCTCCAGACCCTCTGAATGTGTTGGCCGCGTCGGGCCTCTCTCCCCAAACGTGATCGCGACGCCAAAAAATCAGGGCGGAGGTGTTTCGCTATGTTTGGGCCCTGGGGGCCCTCGCTGGGCCCCGGGACCGTCCAAAAACGACTCAAGACGAAAAACCGGACCCGGGGGAGCGTGTCGGGACTTCCAGGGACGCCGTCCGGAAAAAATCAGGACGTCGCATGGCTGGGTCCCGCCGGTCCCCCCCATTGGCGTGCGGCCCTCCGCCTTCCTCCTTCCTCCTCCCCCCTCCTCCCTCCTCCCCCGCCTTCCTCGACTTCATCCTCCCCTGCCCCCTCCAGCTCATGCTCCTCTTCTCTGTCCCTCCCTCCTCCTCCCTGCTTCTCTCGAGGAACCGCAAACGAAGAAGCACAGAAAGCTTTGCAGCTCCGACCCGATTTCGTGGACCGGCGCCGGGCCCGCCCTGTCGGCGCCGGCGGCGCCGCCCCTGGCGCGCTCTGCCCGCCAGGGAAGGGGGCCCAGCGCCGATCCGAGAAATCCGCGCGGACCGTCGAAAGTTCTCGTCTGTGTAATTTGTTGCTTCTCGATTCGGATGCACGCAAGAGCGACCCTATGCAAGAGTGGCCCTTGTTGCGCGACTTTCGGGGGGCGCGGGGGGGGGGGGGGGGGGGGGGGGGGGGGGCAAACCCGAGTGCGGAAGCCGCTGCTGTCGCATCGCGTTCGGCCATCTGGGGGCCCCAGGTGTGCCCGAAACGAGGATCGCTCGAGCGAGAGGCCACTCTTATTTGCACGACCGCGACGCCCGACAGCAACTGTTGTTCCAAACCGACAGCGGCCGCTGTTGGGAAGGCGGCCTTTTGTCTCAAATGGACCACGTCCGCGGCGACACCGACAGCGCGTCCTGTTGAAGATGGGCAAGAACTGCTGCCGGTCGTCGGGCCCGACCGTTCCGCACCTCCTTCGGTCGTACCATATCTCACGTGCAGCCAATTCTGAGGATTTTCTTAGGGTGGAGGGCTCAGGGTGAAATCCACGCCGGCTTTTGAACCTCGAAAATCAATCCGTCTTGTGATTCGCCTTTTGCAGATTCAAGCCTCGAACATCCATCGAAACAGCATTTCAGACTTCACCCTTTGCCCTCTATCCAAAGAAAGTGCTCGGCAATTGCCCTCCACACTGAGGAACAGCGATGATCTGGCGCGCCGGCACAGGCCGCCCGCTCCCTTTGGCGAATTGGTGCCTGCAACTGCGCGGACCCGTGCAGGCGGCGAAGGGCAAGCGGGCTCGGCCAGGCTCAAGCAGCCCTGGGCCGTTCCGTGCAGATCTCTCCTTCTCAGCGACGCCACACCCTCCTCCGTTCCTTGCGTTCTCCCTTCCTGTCCTCGCCTCTCCTCCGCGGCTTCTGCTTCTGCGTGCGTTCGTTTTCTCCCGGCTCCGTGGCCTCTCTCTCTCTCTCTCTCGTCTCGCCCGTTGGCCCTCGGGCCCCTCTCCCCCCTCCTGCTGTCACTCCCTCGTCGTTGTCGCTGCTGGGGATGCGGCTGGAAAACCCAAGCGAGTGCAACGGCGCGGCAGCTGCCCCGCCGTCGTTCGCTCCCTCCCCTCCCCCCCTCTCCCCAGGCATGCCACTGCTGGTATGGCATCCCCTTTGCTTTCCAAGGTCCTCCTGCGCGCCTGTTCTGAACAAAAAGGGCAGGTCTCCTCTAAGGAGCACCTGGCGCCCTTAGAACTTGGAAGGCCGCCCCCTCCTGCCCTACCCTTAGGTCGGGTCTGTCCCCCATACAGGGGGATCTTGGGCGAAAAATTAAGAATAGTCAGACAGATTCCAAAAATGCTCAAACGCAGTCAGAAATCCGTCCCCTGACTATCGCTTGACTATTTTTGAATATTCCTCCTGTTGACGGACAGGCCCGACATAACCCTACCCCCTTTTCACTCCCCCCACAGAAACGGGTGCAGCGCCGGCTTCGGTTCGCCCGCCGCGGCTGCTGACACACGTGTCGAGTCCGACACGCCTCCGGCGGCCCGCTGGCGGGGCGCACCGTGCGGCCGATCCCTGCCGCTCCTCCCGCTGCCGGGAGTTGCGGGTGAACCGCGGGTGCAATCGCGAAGTGCACAAAAGCGCGGTTCCTCCTGAACTCCATGAGAGAGGCGGGTGCAAGCATTCATCGTCTTTGATACTGCGCAGGACATTCGTCTTGGAGTTCCATGCGAGGCGCATGAGTGAGTGAGCGCTGGCGCCAGAAGCGCAGCCAGTGGGGTCCAGCACATACATAAGAAATGTCGCGTGGACCATCGAAAACTCATGTACGTGCAAATTGTCTGTTTCGATTGAAGACGGGGCCCTCTCTCCCCGACGTCCTTGATTTGCGAAAGCCGGCAGCCCCGATAGTGCCCCAGATAGTTCTCAACTTTTGGCATCTGGAGGCCCTGGCTGGCCCCGCGCCGTCAGCAAAGACGACTCAATGTGAAAAGCCGGTCCAGGGGAAGCGGACCTTCCGGGCCATGCTATGAAATCAGACACGTGGTCGGATGTCTGGGACGGCGTCGGTGCCCCCGGCTTTTCGTTCCATCTCGGAGCCCGTTGGGCCCTTTGGGCCTCATGGGGGGATGCTCTGGGGGCCGTGGGGGCCTGTTTGGAAATCCGGCAACGTGACGGACAACCCGGTGCTCCCACTCCCGCAGCCCCGTGGGCCCTCTTCCTGCCGTACTTCCTGGCGCGCTGGCTCACCTTGGTCTTCGCGCTTCCAGCGCCTGCAAGCCCTGGCTTCGGTCCCTGGGTGTGGCCGTGATGCCGTCCCGCGCCCACTGCCAGGTCACTACAGCCCCAGTTTAAAGGGAAACTGGGACACACAAATAAATAAACACAAACAAAAGGATTCCCCATGTTTCCCTACATTTTCTGGGTTTTTGTCTTCCCCACCACTCCCCATACTTTCCCATGTTTTCCTGGGGATCGACGATGAATTGTGTCTGTGTGTTTTTCCCCCTCCTGACAGTTGATCGCACCGGCGCGCTCGTCCCGAAACGCTTTCTGCGGTGAGCGTGCCCCGCCTCCCTCCTGCCCTCCGCGGCCGCTCCTCCGCGCGCCCCACCTCTTGCTCGGCGGGGCAATCAACTCGTCGAGCGACCCGACAACTCGAGCGCCCGTGCGCATTGCCTCTGCTGTGTCGCGACGGGCAAATGTCCTTGCCGCAAGGGTGCGCGACGTGCTGGATGTTTGAACGGTTTGGGTCCGTAGGCCTTCGGCCCAACCCGCCAGCTAATCGGATGAGCTCTTTCTCCATTGGCCTTCCCCCTTAAGATGGCTCCCAGATGGCCACCAAAACGGTGAAGACGGCCTCCAATACAGCCAAGGTGGCCGCAAGATGTCTCCAAGACGGCCCAAGATACACCCAAGACGGCCTAAAAAGGCCTCGTTCTCGTCCAAGACGTCCCAAGAGGCCCCCAAGAGGCCTCCAAAAGGTCCTCCAGGAAGGTCCTGAGAAGCCCAAACTGTCGATTCTCCTAAAGTGGCTGAATGATTTCGGCGTTTGCTCCTTTTCTCCTTTTCGGCTTTCCGAGGGCCCACGACGGCCCAAGAGGCCCCCCCAATCGCTCAAAGATCGCTCAAAAGGCCGCCAAGATGGTCGTGGCCCAAGACGCTTCCGAGACGGCCCCAAGAGGGCCCCTAAGCCGGCCCAGGAGACCACAAAGACGCCCAAGATGGCCTCCAAGTCGGCCCTGACGCGTCCCAAGCTGGCCCACAGAGGCCCCTAAGACGACCCCCCCGATGTTGTCAGACGGGACAGGGCCGCCCTCAGGCAGCCAAAGAGCCTCCCAAGGAGCCCCCAAATGCCCCCAAGAGACTCAAGGACGCCCCCAGAAGGCCTCCAAGAGGCCCCCTGGAGGACCAAATAATGCCTTAAGTGGCTCCCCAGAGGCTTCCTCCTCCTCCTCCTCCTCCTCCTCCTCCTCCTCCTCCTCCTCCTCGTCCTCCCTCTCCTCATTTTCTCAAGATATTGGTTCAGGCACCTCATTTTGGCATCTGCGCCAGCCCGCCACCTCCACGTTGGTGCTTGAGGGGCGTGGCCTCAGTCAGTGTTCGACGCTAGCCTCTGACTGCGGCTAGGAGTGGGCAATTTCTCGCAGCCATGGGCGCCAACTGTGCCACGGGACACCTCTGGCCCACATGCAGCGGGTGCCGCCGCGACGAGTGGAACGACGTCCTCGCTCTCGACTCCAGCAGGCGCCAGCGCTGCCGGCGCCAGATTAAGGGCTTACAGGCCGAAGGGGGGCGCCAAGGACTCGGACGGCGGAGGGAAGGGCGGCGGCGGCGGCAAGGGCGGCGGCAGCGGGCGCAGCGGCGGCGCCGCTGACGGCAACCAGCTCGGCAAGTCGCTCGCGGGCCAGTCAGCGCCGCCGCTGGCCATCCTGACGCAGGCGCTCGGCGCGGCCAGCGACCCCCTGTGCAGGCGGCGCTCACAGCTGCCGTGCAGCGGCAGGCCCAGGTGCCGGCCCCGCCTCCCTCCGCCGAGGAGGCGGTCAGGAGAGCAGCCGGCGCCTGGCAGGACGCCGCTCAGCAAGTGGCTCGCTGCCGTGAAGCACTGGCCTTGGCAGAGGCCGAGGAGAGCGAGGCGGTGCGGGCCCTCGCCGAGGCGGAGATCGCGCGCCGCGCGGCAGCGCCTGCGCCAGCAGCGCAGGCTGCTTTCAAGGCGGCCCCCTTAATTAGCAGAGGGTCAGACCGCTGGCGATGACTCAGCAGGCGGCGCGGGCGACGGCAAGGTTTTGTTCGACCTAGAGTGGGTCGCCGAGTTCTTCGCGGAGGTCCACATCGACGCCTTCTATTTCGAAGGCACTGAGGAGGGGGGTGGCTGAAGCGAGAGGCCGACCTGCTCGCCGCCGCGCGGGGGCTTCAGACACCCAGCGCGAACGCCGCGGCCCGGCGGGATCGCGCGCCGACGGTCCAGAAGCAAGTCATGCCACGTCTTGTCAATGAGAGCAAAGGTGACGACGGTGGAGCGACGCCGGGCGGAGCGCTCAAGCCGACGCGCAGGAACCTCCCGATGTAGCAGCATCGCGCGGAGGCGGCGGTCAGGCTTCGGCGGGCGCGGGCGCCGCGGCGGGGCCGCCACCTGGCTGGGGCGATCGCGACCTGGATGCCATGATGGAGGCCGAGGTCCAGCGGATCCGCCGGGCCGAGGAGGTAGCCGCGGCAGCGACAGCGAGCGCGGCACAGGCAGCGGCGAACGCAGCCGCGGCCAGCGCCAAGGGCGACGGCCGCGGGGCAGGAGCGCCCGCGCTTGGCGCTGCAGCTGCGGCGCCAGGCACTTCGGCGTGGCCGGCGTCGAGCCCAGGTGCGGGCTGCAGTCGTTTGGCGAGGTCGCCTTCCCCTTGCCGCGGTTCTTCGCAGGAAGGCATCGTTAGGGGGCAAATAAACCTACCTCGCTTTTGACCACCCTCGCTTCCAAGAGATACCAAGCGATGCCAAACTACGGCCTGTACTGGTCAGGCCTCTTGACGAGGAGGCGCGTGGTATGACTTGGTTTTGCCTGGAAGCGAAAGCGGGGTAGGTAATTCACGCTCTGAATCGTGAGTGCTGAGTGGTCTTCTTTGGCCGCATCTTCGGCTTCGGCGGCTACTTCAGCGTCGCCTGCGTCTGCGGCGGCAGGGCCAGCAGACGCGGGAGCTCGTGCGGGGGGGGCCTTCCTCTGCAGCAAGTGGAGCCTCGGCGCCAGGTTTGTCGAGCCCCACGTCGCCAACAGCTTCGGTGGCAGGGGGCCCGACAGCATCTGCGTCACTAGCACCTCCTGGTTCGGGATCACCGGCAGGGATGACGGCAGCTTGCAACTCAAGCGGGGAGGCGCCCAGTTCGCCATCGCCGAGGGCCCGTGCCGGTCGGGCGCATCTTGCTGGCTCGTTGCGCGAGGCAACTTCTGTCGCGCAAACCTCTCGCAGTAGTGGCGCTTTATCTTGCCCAGAGAGCGCTTGACTGCATTTGCCATGTGCATGTTGGCAAAGTTTTCCAACGCTTCGCTCTCTGCGAGACGCATATTGAGCCTCGAAAGTCTGCGGGGCGGCAGAAGGAGAGCACGTCAAGTCTTGTTGCCTCCAGAATGGTGCCGGGCCCACGGGCAGGAGGTGCATCGCGGCCTCGGGCGAGCTGCGCGCTACTGAAGCAGGAGAGATGTTTCTGCCCGAGGGCCATCGGCAAACGCATTCCCTGCTCACGCGTAGTAGCGATCTGTCTCATCTGTGCGCAGACGGGTCAAGCTGGCTCGACGGATTTCTTCCAGTCGTCCTGAAGCAAAACGGGTGCAGCATTGTTGTTTTCATGTTTTATTGGATAGTCTTGGGAGCCTCTTGGCGGTCCTGGACGCCTCCTAGAGCGTCTTGGATGCCTCGGAGAGTTTCTTGGGGCCTTTGGGGGGTCTCTTCGGAGCCAATTGGAGGCCTCTTGGGCGCCTGTGGGGGCCTCCTGGGCGCTTCTTGGGGCCCTCTTCAAGCGCTCTCGCGAGCCTTTAGGGTGCGCTGGGGAAAACCTCGCGCGCCTGGCCAAGTGAGGGCCCGCGCTGCAGGCCCTTCACCTCCCGGGGGCTGTGCTTGGAGGTTTCGGCGTGCTGTCCTCTGTGCTCTCGTCTGCGGAGAATGCTCGGGCCGACTGAGGGGCCCCCGTGCTGAAAGCCCCTGTAGCGCGCACTTGTGTCAGCAAGCGGGGTGCCTCCCGCGCGCACTACGTTCTGGCTTCGCCGCTAGCCATCCCTGATGTTTTAGGTTTGCAGGCCATCCAGGACGCGCCGTGGAAACCTCATGGTGCGCTAGTCCTCCAGCTCAGAAGTTCTGGTGCTCAAATGATCGCTCGCACGCTTCTTCTACCTGAGAGGCTGCCCCAAGTTCGCAGGCCCCAGGCGGCTGCCCAGGCCTCGTCTAAGTCGCCTCAGGCTCGGTCCACACTGGCTCTGAGTCAGGCTCTTGCCAGGGAACGCCAGCTAGACGCAAGCTCTGTTTTGTTGAAGGCCTCCTCGCACGACGGGGGGACGAAACGCTTCCTGCGCAGTCTCTGTTAGGCGTCGAACCGCCCAGCCCCCCACGGGCACCCCGACGATCCCGAGGTCTGGAGCGGGGCCCCATCGCGGCACGTGCGCTGACGAGACCGACCCTCGGGCAGGCGAGCCCAGCTTGGTCGGTCAGCACCTGCCCCCCCCTTCCGCGCCTCTAGCCCTCGCTCGGCTTCGCGTGCCCCCCGCGCGGGGAGGTGCTCCGATGAGTCCGCTAACCTCGGCGAATCCAATCGTCGCCTCAGCAACGGACGAACGCTCGGGTCGGGCGAAGGGGGGGGATAGCAACGGGGGGGCTTGAGAATCAGCTCACGTAGCTGATTTTCCCGGGCGCCTCCCGGCGCCGGAGGCGGCCATGTATCGAGGAATGGGCCCCACGGCGGGGCCGAAACCAGCTGCATGCAACAGATTTCGTAACCCCCCCTTTTCCAATCCCCCCCTTTCGTCCGGCCCGAGAAAAGCGCGCCCCCCCCCCCTCTGGCGAGAGCCTTCCCCGTTTGAGCGAAGTCAACCCACCCGACTACTCCAGCTCTCCTGCTGGCGCTGGTGCCCCTGCTCTCGTTGCCCCCTCGGCTACGAGGCCATGTTTTGCTCAAGCAGACCATTGTCCCCTCGGCTACGAGGCCATTGCCTGCTGTTGTCCCCTCGGACAGGAGGCCATTGCCTGCTGTCGCCCCCTCGGCTACGAGGCCATTGCCTGCTGCTGCCCCCCCCTGGTGCCCCTGCCTTCCTTGCCCCCTCGGACACGAGGCCACACGCTGGCGCTGGTGCCCCTGCCTTCCCTTGCCCCCTCGGATGCAATGGCCCGTTGCCCGAGCTGCGGCCGGCCTTCGCTGCCAGACCTCCGAGCAGGCCTGGGGGGCCCTCGCCCCGTGGCCCGCCGGCCTGCCGCGCGGGAGGGCCACGCCGCGCGCGGCCCGCGGGGCACGCGGCTCACGGGTGCGGGCAGCGGAGCACGGCTCTTCGGATGCGTCGGGACCCCTGGGTGACTACCTACCAGACCACCCCAACCCAACCCGAAGACCCGAATTCCGGGTTGGGGGGGGGTATGGGCTCCATAAGTGATTTTTCGATGTTCCCGGACCCCCCCCCCCCCACTAGAAATCGAGGGTAAATCTGAGCCTTCGGGTTGGGTTGGGGTGGTTTGGTGGGTGGTGACTGGGGCGCACGGCACACGGCACATGCGCGGGCGAGCGGCGGCCCGCGGGGCACGCGGCTCCCGGGCTCGGGCAGCGGAGCACGCTCTTCGGAGGCGTCGGGGCCCCCCTCCCTCGGGCAGGCCGCCCACGGCTGTGGGCCCTCGCCCCGTGGCCCGCCTGCCTTCCGCGCGGGAGGGCCACGCCGCGCGCGGTCCGCGGGGCACGAGGCTCATGGGCTCGGGCAGCGGAGCACGTTTTTCAGATGCACCAGGATCCCCCTCCCTCGGACAGGCCGCCCAAAGCTGTGGGCCCTCGCCCCGTGGCCCGGCGAGTGCGTCAGGGCGGTCGCTTTTCGAGATGGGGCCCCAAGACGTGGCGGCCAACTGGTGGGAACGCACTCAGGCGGTCCTTCGCAGGCTGGCTCGACACACGAAGAGAGGGAACGCCCCGTTGCGAATTGAGTCGCCGGCTGCCGTGGGAGGCAAGCTGGCGAGTCAAGTTCCAGGGTCTGCGCACAAATATGTCGGCAAGTCTGCTCCGTCTACGAGCTGGGTCACGTGGAAGGAGCTACTCGGTCCCCTGCGTGAGGTTGCGCATATGCAGCTGGATCGGTTCGCCCGAGAGGCTCGCCAGATTGCTGCGCGGGGTCGTGGACATGCAGTCGTACCTTCACTTCGGAAGTTTTGGATTGCCAAGAATGATCAGACAGGTGCGTCAGACGGGTGCGATTTATCGTGCAACGAAAATGGAACCCCTTTGCGACGTTGGTGAGTCCGATGCCCCAGATGACCCTCTCTTTCACCCTCGCGATGCGGCGGGTCACAAGCCCGCGCGCTGTCGCGAACTTTGGACGTCCAAAAATGATCACGCGATGGCAGCCATGTGGGACTTGTTTGATCGACTGCGATGGCATTAAGGGTCGGAGAAAGAGCCCCATTTATCCGTGCAGGTCCTTCGAGCAGCACCTCGGTCCGTGAAGCCGAGGGCAAGCCAAGGGATTGATGGGTTCTCGCCGATCGACCTCAGGCGTCTGCCAGTCCAGGCGCTGCCCGGTCTCGCCGCCATGTGTTTGGTCGCCCGAAATGGGCATGGAAAAAATGGGTACAATGCCCAACAACAAGTGTTGTCCCAAACCAACAGCGGCCGCTGTTGGGCAGGCGGCCTTCTGTCTCGCATGGACACAGGCCGCGGCGGCGCGGACAGCGGATCCTGTTCAGAATGAACAGGAACTGCTGTTGGGCATTGTACCCATTCTTTCCGTACCCATCTCGGGCGTCCAGAATGTGCACCGTGTGTGAGCAGCGCCAGACCCGGCCGCGGCAAGTCCCTGCTCGTGCGGGGGCGGCTGCTCGCCGAGAAGAGTTCTGGCAAGCGCGCGATCTGAGGCGTGAGTGGGCCGCGGCTTCGGCGCCCGACTGGGAGGCGGCCATCGCAGGAAACCTCTGTCTGCGCGAGGCGTGCACGCGCGCCCTGGAGGAGTTTTTCGCGAAGCCCAGGGCATCCCACGGACACGCATTACCTGACATGCAATCATGTTACGATGGAATGGAATGGAATGGAATGGTCGACACTGGTAGAAGGAGCTCTCAAACATGGGTTTCCACCAGCTATGCCGGGGCTCGAGCTCCAGACATGCGCGGCCCCGCGGCTCCTGGATCAAGGGGGCGCAGGTTCGCGCCCATTCCAAGGTGCGCGCAGCATCGTGCAGGAAATCAGGAGTGGCACCAGTTTCACTCGCAGCATCACGAACCTCACCACGTGATATTACTCAAGTTTTGTGCAGTAGAGTGTTAGTTAAATGATATAGCGTGACGTGTCTTTTGTATCAAGGTTTCAACTCCTCTCGTCTCCGTTGTTCACCTGGCGTCCGTGGCTGCGAGGGAAGCTCGGCCCCAGCTGATCAGAGGTCTCGAGTCGAGCTGGTGGAACACCAAGCTCGCCTCATTCGGCAGAGCCGTTTGCGAGCCACGCTCGAGGCAGCTGCCACGGATGGAAGCAAAAATAGGTATTGCCTCTCGGCTGCCTTCGTCCGCACTCCCCCTCCCGCTCCTGCCGCTGTCGCTCTTCAGTACTCAGCACGCCTTGGCTGATTGTGGCAAGCGTTGTACAGTCTGTAGGGGTACCACGTCAGTGGCAGCGAAAGGGGGAGTTTTTTTTAATACACCTTGCTTCGGCCTTGAAGCTCAGATGTCGAGGGTTAAAAGGTTCCTCGTGGAAGGCGTTTACGTCTCGCTAGGGGATGAGTCCACCCAGGTAACCAACTGGTGCATCACTGCACTTTGGATGTATGGTAGTTACCCTCACCAGCAAGTTCGTACCTTGGATGATGAATGCATGTGTCCACCCACGGTCCCACTTAACAGGTTTGTTTGAGCCTATCTCGACTGAATTTCCAGAGGCCTTACGCACAAAGTATTCAGCAAGGCTGAAAAGGCGGCAGGATCATCCTAGAATGGGTTACCCGCTTCGCGATCGGTCTTATCTTTTCTTACTTCCAGCTCCTCCTTTTCCTCTTTCTCCTGACAAGGCCTCCCGAATGGTTTCCGCAGCGTCTGGGGAACACACACACAATCCGATAGCTTGGCCGAGATCTGGCCGCAATGTATGCCCTTCCATATGTCAGGGGGGCGACGGTGACTCGCCGTATGCATCTTCGATCGTGTGGACATCCTGGGACATGGACACTTCTGGAAACATCCGAAGAGTGCGGCTCTCGCTGGGGCCTTGCCAGCAGAGGGGAGGGGAAGGAGAAGACAGGAGAGGGAGGGGAGGGGAACTGGAGGAGGGGGGAGGCATGGAGGAGGACGAGGAGGAGGAGGAGGAGGAGGAGGAGGAGGAGGAGGAGGAGGAGGAGGAGGAGAGGAGGAGAGGAGGAGGAGGAGGAGGAGGAGGAGGAGGAAGAGAGGAGGAGGAGGAGGATTTTTTAAACAAGGCAATGACTGACACTACGTTTTGCTTGCCAGTAAAAGAACTGCCTCTGGCGGTGGGTGACCGGAGCGGGCCCGCACACACACGCACACACCCAGGAGCCAGAGGTCAATCGGAGTCTCCAGACTCCATGGCGCTTGCACGGGAAGCTTGCAGAGGAGCGTTGTCCTCCTCCTCCGAGGTCGAATGCTCCAGTCTCGGCTGCACGCTTGGGGCCTCGTCCCCCCCATTGGAGGGATAATTCACCCTTCTCGCACCGTTCACAGGCTCGCTTTGTGGAGCCTGAAAAGAAGGAACAGATTGCGGAACTTCACCAGGCCCAGCTCCATTGACGGCGGACGACGACGATAACGGCGGGTCGACGAATTCTTCGTTCTGCTGGGCCTGGCTGGGACTGGGCTCCTCCAGAGCCTCAAAGTCGACCGAAGCTTCGATCACGACTCCGTTGAGCCTCGGGCGCCGACCTTTGAGCACTCTGTATCGCCAGCGTTCGAAATTGCTGCGCGCAGGGGCCTTGCAAGTTTTGTCCAGCAAACTCAGCGGCCCAAGACTCGAGACTGCCTTGCACCTGACGCAGATGATCAGAGGGGACCTGTCGCTGCAGTCGAAACTCAACAGCTTGTGCCCCCTCGACCCCACCTGAAGCAGGGTCTCAGGCACTTGGCCAGAGCAGCCTTCGTATGGAGGCTTCCCGTTGTTGCCGCAAACAAAATTCCGAATCGGCCTTCTCGCCCTAAGACACACTTCACACAGCCAGTAAGTAGAGTGCCGAGCCCCCTCGTGCAAAAAAGAGGGCGGAACATCGGGCTTCTGGCTGGGCTCTCTATCCCGCGAGGTCCAGCGCGGGCCACAAAAGGAGAAGACGAGCCGCAAGCATGCACGCAGCTCGGGAAACCTTGACCTGCCACGCCACCGCCTCCAGCTCCACTGGATCACCCGGCGGGTGCGAATCTGCTCCCGCTTTGGCGGCAGCATCTGCAGCGTCGTTGCCGCATGTTTCCCACTGCTGCTGTTGACTGAGGCTAGCGTCGTCCTGTGCGTGAGCTTGAACCTTCAGAACCTGCTGCAAAAAAAAAGGTTTTGAGCTAACGCCCACGTGCCAGCGTGCACGCTTTTGTATGCAAATCTCTCCGCTTGTGACAACTTAACGGTTTCCACGTGCACCCTTTTGTATGAAAAGCTCTCCGCTCGTGGCAACTTCAAGAGTTCCACAGCATGTTTACATATCTGCAAAGCCTCCCGCAGGACCCGACATAGCGTTGGCCACTATGGCCAGGGCCCCACATTCTCCAGCCTGAAGGGTCTGGGGCAAAGGCCCCCAGACGGGCCCCGCGACCCTGGCCAGCAGCTTCAGTTCCCCCTTGGTGACCTGTAAATGCCCCCCACGAGGCCCTGCTAAGTTCCCTTACATGGTGAGCACTGTAAGCCCCATCCATGAAAATGGCCCCTGAGACTCCGCCGGTTCCCCGTGGAAGCCCTTCTTCGTGGGCTGTAACCTGGATGCCCCCAGAAGTCCCTGGTCGAGGAAGGTAGTCCCCAGGGTGCTGAAATAACCCCTTTTTGCGCAGCAGTAGATCCTTAGTGTTACTCTGACCTAGGGCGAGGGCCGCCTCAACGATCGTTGGATCCACCAACTGATCTCGAACGTAGCTGCAGGCTGGGCACTGCAATAATCGGCGCCAGACTCCATCTGCGAACCGACCGCAGAGTGGACGCTGAAGCGATGGCAGCTGGTAGCCTAGTGCGATTGCGCGGCCCCTCGCCCAGAGAGCGCCGCACGTGAGGGACTTGATGCGGCCCTTCTCATCGTGCGAGAATTTCTCGGGCCTCGGCGCACCTGCAACAGTGCCAGAACAAACGCGGCCCTCGAGTCCAATATGCTCGCCTCCTTCACGTTCTAGTTGCCTCGAGACCCCCTCGCGCAGCATGGTTTTAACCAATGCTGGCGGACACGTCGTGCGAATGATATATTCCTGAAAATCGTTCCTCATGATGCGCAGACTTGGCGTGGGCCCTCTGGCCCCCCTAAAACGCATTCCCAAGGCCAGCAAGGGCCCTTTCACACGCCTCCAAGAAGCTCGGCCTCGGGCACCTCGACAGCTGAAGTCCAAGCTTCTCTCAGAACTGTAAACGAGAGCGTGTGCGTGAGCTGCCTTGATTGCGTGGCATACACCTCTTTGGCAGACCTGACCGCTGGCGCTACAGCTTCGAACCATGTCAGGTCTCCGCGCAGAATCAGGAGAGCCGTCAAGGAGCGCGTTCCAGCCGGCGGCCGAGGCACCGACCCAAGGCTGCGTCTGCAACAACTCATCTCGTAGTCTGAGGCTCCGTGCACCTCTGAGCCGTTGTTCAGCCCTGTCAGGGGGCCGCTGGTATATACTTGCCAAAGATGGGCTCCGAACGCGGTCTTGGCCCTCTTGAACCTCTCCGTGCGCTGTCTGAAGATCTTACATCTGTCATTGCGTTTCTTCCCCCGACCTTCCTGTCTCCTGCCGCGCCCCGCCGCGTCGTCTATCCCCTGGTTGACGGCGGAATCAGCGAGCGTAGCTCCTCCATATTTGCCAAGAGCTTCGCGCGCTGCAAGCCCTACCTTGGCCGACGAGCAAATGACAGATGCCTTGTCCTGGGCGACAGCTGACTCCATCTCAGAGGTCTGTCCCAAGATGAGATGCGCAGCGGTGTTTGTGATGTCTATTGGCACCTGCTTGGCATTGCCCGTGGATGACATGCCATAGCCGTCGATGTATATATCCAAGCTAGTGGAAGGTGGGAATGGTATCTGGTCTATGGCGAGGATCGCATAAACTCGCACATCGGTGGTCGCGATCGAGCAACCTGCTAGCACACCATTCTCCGCGAAGTGAGGGCCGTTCACTTGGCTGGCCGTGCTAAGATACCTAGGGCCTTTGTAGGCCGCTACGCTGACTCTAGATATCTGGGGCGGGTAATTCACGAACTCGGCCCTGCTTTCGAGTTCACCCAAACCAATCGTCCCGTAGAATTCCATAAGGTCCCAGAACACTTTGCTGGCAACTGCATTGGGGATTTTTGAATGGGGTCTCTTGGCTCCTGGGTGGACTCGAACAGCTCTCTCGGCCCTCACCGCCAGACTCCAGACATCGACGGCTGCTCCAGCCAAACTTGCCGCCGCTCCCACTGAGTAGCCCATGGACGGCGGAGTTTGCCCCAGAGTCTGTAGAAGGAATTGAGAAGTCCTATAGGCCGCCAGCCTCTAGCTGGCCTCTCCAAAAGTGGCGCCAATATGGTGCGGACCTGATTTGGCATCAACGTCGTAGCGTCCATTATGCTCATCATCATCATCACCGTCTGCAGGGTACCGTCTGACATGGAGGCATAATGTGTCATGTGAAACCCGTTGCGTGAAACGGCAAGAGACGTCTTATGTGTCATCGAACGGATTGCGGCAATCGTGCAGTAGCAACACCTTCAGCATGCTGAGGAGGGCCCTCCTGACGTGCATGTTGTTGCCACTCCTGCAACAAACTGACAACAAGACGGAACGTGCTCTCGAGCCAACGCAACGAGCGTGCTGGAAGAAGACGGAACGTGCTCAGGAGCGGCTGCTTTGACCTCCTTCCTCCTGTCTAGTCCTATGGCAGACTCCCAAGCCAACTTCGACAGCCGACCCCTACATCCTGCGACAGAGAACTCGAACTGACGGGAATGACAAACCTCGAACTCGGCTAAGTTGGCCACTGCTTGCACATGAGATCCAGTTCTCGCTGCACTTGGCCCAGGGAGCCTCGTTGCGAACCATCTCGGGCCCATGCTGAGCGCAATCCAGATCGGTGTCCCAGGAGGGAGCCTCAGGCGCGGGCCCCCATCAGGCAGGGGAAGGTTGCGTTGTCGATTTGCTCGGTGCGCTTGAGATACTGACCGTTTACAACAGCTTCGCGAAAAATGCAAGCATGAGCATTCGCGTCGAGAGTGAGCGGGCCATGGCAGATTGACGTATCCCCGTCAGGCGCACGGGGCCCCGCACAATGTCATTGCACACGCCAATAGTGCAGTTGGGCGGAGCCATGGGGAGATTCGGCGGAACCACCGGGGGGGGGCACATTTTCAGGTTCCCTCCGGTCCCTTATATCATGAGAGTCGCCAAACGGTGCAGGAACCTGAACATGCCACCGGGGTGTATTATTTTGATACATTTGGAGCACCTCGGCATTTTCGGGTCGACCTGAAAATTTTCAGTTTGGACCTGACAATTTCCTCCGGGGACGCTTCATCCATTGTATTTTTTCGCACGGATGGTAGGCCACACACACACACACACACACACGCGCACCACCAGGCTCCACGGCACTCCAAGAAATTCACTCGCGCGCTCCCGCGCGCTCCCGCCAGGCGTCCGCGAATACCTTCCAGTCCGCCAGCGTGGCGTGAGCGGCGCGCCATGCAGCGGCCCAGGAAGCAGGCAGCAGCGCAGCCAGGGCGGGCCCGGTTGCCCAGATGCCTAGACTGATCAGGTCGGCCATCGCGAATGACTTCGGTGGGGCTCTCAGGACGCGGTGCAGCTCGTCGAGCTCACCCTTGACGAGGCACTCCGGCAGGGCAGTAACTGGGCCAGGTACATGAGGACGGACACTGTGGAGCCGTTGCGCACCGTTATCACCTCAGCCGTCGGGACAGGGGCGCTCTGCAGCAAGGCCGCGCGCTGCTTGCACTTCGTGGCCGCCGCTTGCCAGGAGTCCAGAAGGGACGCCTCTGGGCACATCACGAAGCCGAGGTACAGTCAACCCGGATAGTAAGGATGCGCGATACGGATGCAAGGGCCTTGGACGCCCATTTCGAAGCTCTTCGAGCGGGGCGCGGCCAGCGAAAGCGGCGAAGGATGGACCGAGGAGGCAAGGATGCAAGGGTACCCTTGAGAAGCTTGCCCATCCTTACTATGCGGGTTGACTGTACTTCACCTTCAGAGAGATGGCGAAGCCGGACCAGCTCGGAGCGCATGCCCTGAGTGCGGCACGAAGGGCATCGCGGGCCGCTGGCAGGTCCGCAGCAGCCAGCCACAGCGGCACCGGGACATATGTGACGGGCTGTAGACATTAGGCTCGCAAGGCGCGCCACGGCGCAGAAGTGAGGCTCGGGAGGCGAGTGAGGGAGGAGAATGACGGACTATGACGACGACGATTATGACGGTGATGGTGATTATGCTTATGACAGGGATGAGGTTGACGATGAGGCTGACTTTGATTATGACGATGGTGTCGCTGATGATGATGTTGATGATGATGATGATGATGATGATGATGATGATATTGATGATGATGTCGATGATGCAGTGGATGGTGGTAGGGGTAGTGGTAGTTGTAGTGCTGATGACGGATTTTGGCGGTGATGCCGATGATGCCGATGCTGATGATGCTGATGGCAGATAGCTGTTTGCTGATGATGTTGATAGTGAAGATGATGATGATGATGATGCTGGTGATGATGTTGATGATGCTGATGCGGATGATGTTGATGGTGATGCTGATGCCTATAATGGTGATGAGTTTGCTGATCATGGTGATGATGATGGCGATGCCGATGATGAGGATGATGAGGATGGTGCTGATGATAGTGATGATGATGCTGATGATAATGGTGATGCTGATGCTGATGACGACGATGACGACGATGATGCTGATGACGACGATGACGACGATGACGATGACGATGACGATGACGATGATGTTGATGATGATGATGATGATGATGATGATGATGATGATGATGATGATGATGATGATGATGATGATGATGATGATGATGATGATGATTGTGATAAGGAGGCGGAGGAGGAGGCGGAGGAGGAGGAGGAGGAGGAGCATGAGCATGAGCAGGAGTGGCGGGTGGGTGGCTCAAGCGTGTGCGTGCCGCTCCCGCTTGTCGATCGCGAGCAGGCCCAGGATGACGAGGCCGGAGTCCTGCGGCCCCCGCGGAGGGACGAGGGCGGCGAGGAGACAAGAGGGGGAGGAGGAGGCAGGAGGAGGAGGCAGGAGGAGGCAGGAGGCAGGAGGAGAAGGAGGAGGAGGAGGAGGAGGAGGAGGAGGAGGAGGAGGGGGAGGGGGAGGAGGCAGGAGGAGGAGGAGGGGGAGGATGCGGAAGGACGCGGGAGGCAGGAGGGGGGCAGGGCCGAGGACGAGGCAGCGGGAGAGGGCAGGAGGGCAGGAAGGGGAGGCCCCCTCCCTCCCGCTGGCGGCGCGCTCCCCCCGCAGGGCCGTCTACCCAGCAGGGACGCTGCGGCAACGGGGGGCGACGTCAGCCAGGTTGGGCTGGGCTGGGAGTTCCCTCGGTTTCCCAAGGAAGGTCTCCGTTCCCCCTCCTCCTCCTCCTCCTCCTCCTCCTCCTCCTCCTCCTCCTCCTCCTCCTCCTCCTCCCTCCTCCTCCTCCTCCTCCTCCTCCTCCTCCTCCTCCCCCGCCTCCTCCTCCTCCTCCTCCTCGGGGGTCAGCGCCCTCTCAGACTGGTCTCTTTGGACGCCCGAGATGGGCACGGAATGCGTGGGCACGATGCCCAGCAACAAATGCTGTCCCAAGTCAACAGCGGCCGCTGTTGGGCAAGCGGCCTTCTGTCTCGAGTGGACACAGGCCGCGGCGGCGCGGACAGCGAGCCCTGTTCAGAATGAACAGGGACTGCTGTTGGGCATCGTACCCCGGCTTTCCGTACCCACTCCGTTCGTGCCGGACGCCTCCCTGTCTGCCTGTCTGCAGTGGTGCCCGGCGCAGTCTGTTCTGACTGCAGGGGCTGTAAAACAGGGCTAGGATCGGGATAAATCGCTCCAGAGCGTTCCGGAGCGCTCTCAGAGCGTTCCGGAACGCTCTGGAGCGGCCGCGGCGCCCAATACATGCTCCAAACCCGCCGATCCTCAGAGATTTCGAGTTATCCCGATCCGATTTTGTCCCGATCTTCGCGTCGTTTTAAGGGCGAAGCCCCCGGCAGTTGAGGTGCGGACTCTCTGCCGGCCCATCCCACCCCTGACGGTCGCTGTCCCCTCCGTTGCCGGCTTCCCAGGCACCAGAGGCGGACATGGACCTGCCCGCCGGGAGGCACAGCGGTCGGCGTGGGGATGCTCCGTCGCGGGGGGCGTCCTCCTGCCCGCTCAGGCCCTCTAAAGGCATCCGTGCCCGAGGAACACGAACGCCGCCCAGCGGGGCAACTCCAGCCAGCCCCCTCCCTTCCTCCCCCTTTCCTTCCTTCACTCTCCGTCCCTCCCTCCCTCCTTCCTTCCCCCTTCCTCCCTCCCCCCTTCCCTCCTTCGTGTGAATCGTCTTACTCCTCCACGTCACCCCGTTGCGCATCTGAGGGTGATCATACAAGTATTTTCGCCGTGGTACATGCAGCGTCGGATGCAATCTAAGAGCATGACACGGACGTGGTAGAGGGGAACACAGAGCAGGACAATGAGGATGATGAGGAACAGGAGGATGACGGAGTTCAGGAGCGGAGGCAAGATAGGGAGGAGGGAGACAAAGTGGCAGGAGACCGATGTGGAGCATGAGGAGGATGAGGAAGACGGGACACGAGGAGGAGGAACAGGAGGAAGATGATGATGAGGAGGAACAGCACGATGAAGCAGAGGATAACTACAACAATGGGTAACGGCGGAGAGTAGGAAGCCGCCATGGGGAGGAGAGCGGGGCGGAGGATCAGCGGATGAGAGGCCCTGGGTCCACGCAGGGGAAGACGGTCACCACGTAGCCTGCGACGCTGCCGCTGCCAGGGTTCACCTCGGCGGGTCATCCAATAAAGGAAACCGATGGACGTGGGGCGGGGGAGACGGGGGATCAACGAAATATCGATGCCACCATCCGAGGGAGCCAGTCTAGGCAACGGCGGCCCTCCCGGGTGTTGTTCGTCCACTTTGGGCCCCACGAGGGCGTCTCGTCGCTACGGGCAGATCCATCTGACAGCTGCGGCGGCGCGCCCGGGGGGGACGTAAGAGGCGGCCGGCCTTCTCAGAAGGCGGCCGACCTTCTCAGAGGCCCTCGGGCCTTCTGGGAAGTCTTCGTGTCTTCGGGGGTGGCTAAGGAAACTGCTCAGACGCCGGGGCCTTCCGAGCCTTCAGGAAAGGGCCCGCCCCCTCGCTCTTCTTCCCCCCCGGGCTCGCCGCCGACAACTGCTCGCGAGCGGCAAGCAGGCGCCGTGCCCCACGTGGGAACGCATCTTCCAGGAACCACCTCCTGGGCCGCGCGGAAGCAGAACACAGCATGCCACTCCTTCGCTCGCGAGCAGTGTGCGCCGCGCCCGTTTTCTGCCACGCGCCTGACAGCATCGAAAACCTGCCGCCGAACAGAAACAAAAGGAAACGTCGTGCCCTCCCTGCTGCTTCGGGCTACTGATTGATACGTGAAGGTGGGACCTGCGACCTTGGAAAAGAAATGACGCGTCTAATGTTTGAGCCCTGCCTCGGGTGCCAGGCGGCAGTTTGGGACGCGTCGGGCGCCCCTGGAACACCGTCGGGAAAGCATCCCGAAACCGGAAAAAAACCAAGGACCGACGAGCGCGCCCGAACACCTCAAACCTCGACCCCATGTCGTTCGACAGTAATGACAAGGAGTGAATTCGTCGTGTTCTCTGGTATTTGTGTGTTGGAACGGTGGAACCCAGCGCTTCGGCCCGCAGTCGGGGAGAACGCGCGGGGAGAGGGGGTTTCCACCTTATGGGGCGAGGAGCAAGCGGAGGAGGAGGAGGAGAGGGAGGAAACGACGTATCCCTTGTCTGGCGAATGAGTGCCACCCTCGACCTGAAGATCCCGCACATGAAAGGGTGGGAGCGAGGAGGCCAGTGCACTAGCGTCAGCCGACGGGCGATCGCAGGACGTAAACGCACGACATATGAATTTGGCGTGAAGAGAACCTTGAGCCCGACAAAGCGCACGTGCCATGACGAACAGCCATGCTGGGCAACAAAATAATTGTACTAATGATTGAGAGGAGCAATGACAACGGGATGTCTTGCTTGCGAGCAACTGTGACTAGCGCGGATTAAAGCGAGACGAATACGGGCACGGATGGAAGCACCCTCGAGCCACAAACGGCTCTGGAAAACCGGATGGGAGAGGCAAACCGACTGCAGTGCTACCGTTCGGGCCTGGTGCTGAAGCGGGTCTGTTGTGCCTCGTCGGTCAGCACAAGCAACTAGATTTAAACAAGTGCGCGTGACATGGTCATTGCGAGCCCTGGTCGTTGTTGCCCGCGATGTTGGGCGAACCGGTGACATCGTGCGCCAGAGTGTGTAGGCGCAACCTGGGGCCCCACAGGGCTCGCGCGCCAAAGCCTGCAAGCGCGACCTGGGGCCCTACAGGGCTTGCGCGCTCAAGTCTATAGGCGCAACCTGGGGCCCAGGGCTTGCGCGTCGATGTCCTGGTCGCCCTTGTCTTTGGTGAGGCTGCTATGCTGGGAGCTGGGCGTAATTCTTGTGCCGCTCGTTGCTCAGCTCGACAATGTCTAGGCCGTAGCTGAGCTGGCCGTCAAAGATGTCCGGGATCAGCTCTCGGCCGATGCTCCCCTCGGCCATGGGTTCGGCCCTCGCGTCGATTGCGTCGCACCAAAGCGTTTTTTCAGTCTGCTAGGCGCGGAAGTGATTTGACAATCGCCGCTCATGTCTGGCCATGCCGTTCTCCGATGGGCGTCGATCTGGACCCGTGGACAGGGCCGAAAAGACAGACGCGCCGTCCACGACGAGTCTTGACGGCACTGCGTAGCCCCCCTCTTCCCTCAGTCCCCCGATCTCCTCAGAGGAGGCCGGTCCACGAATCGCATGGCGGAGCGCGAGGAGGCGCGCCTGCGCGCGACCTACGGCCCCGCAGGCTGCGAGCAGCTCCGAGCCGAATGATGGCGCGCACGCGGGCGCGTGCGATCGGCCCGCGGCGTCGAGCAAGTGGCGCGTCTCATAGCCGCCGGCGCGGCGGCGCTTGCCGAGACGCGCGCATTTGGCCCCCCTCGTGCCGCACCCTGTCCCGTCTTCCCCCTTGAAAGACCCGTCGCTGCGCGCGCGGAGTTGGCAAGCGCATGCCATTGAGGGAAATGCGATGAGCGCCTTGATCTTCTGAATTGCCAAAACGGCGGAATTGGGCTGCAGTGCGCGGCGGATGAGCAGCTTGTTCTCGGTCCTCTGCAGCACGACAACTTGCGCGGCGACGCGGCGCCGGGCGAGCAGAGCGCAGGCTGCTGCTCCCAGAGGAGAGATAAAGAGGTCTGGACGTGAACGCCTGCCGGCCCGTCGGCTTTCGCCATGGCCAGGTCGACGTGCCCGATCGATATCAGGGCGTCGATGTACTTGTCCTGGTCGAGCGTCGCTGTTCCATCGGCACCGCGGTGTTGATGCGCTCCGCAGTAGGTGAAGTCGTCGTAGTCGCCCTTGGGCTTGCCCAAGACGCTCTCGATATGGCCGATCAGTCGGTCGATGCGTCGCGTGCGTCCAGCGATTTTCAAGTCGCCAACGCGCTTAGAAAGGGCGGGCGCAAAGTTCGAGTCGCTGGCGCCATAAGCACCGGGCGCCTCGCGTTTGACCTCAAGCTCAAGGCCCCACATTGCAGGCTCGGCGCCGCGCTCTGGCGGGCGCGTGGACCAAGGGCGCTCCATAGAGATGGCTCGGGGTGCGTCGCTGCAGCACGCGCCCGGTTTGATGCTCTGCGCATGCGCTCGGTCCGCTCGTCGAAGGGCTCGTGGCCTGGCGCCTGCCCGAGGATGGCTGCGCTGCCGGGCGGCAGGTGAAGTTCGCCTCGCGGGGTGCTGCGCCTTGCCCCTGCATCTCAGCATGGGGCATGCCGCGCAGAGATTTCTTCTCGGCGTCCACGGCGACGGGGGCCCGGTGTGGGCGACGCGCCGCCTCCGAGGACAGCACGCGCTGTCGCGCGACGTTCGCTGCCCCCACGAACATCTTCGGGGCCCCGGCGAACGTGTCGCGAATGCCTCCATACGGCACCTGGTGACCCTCGCGGCCATGCCGTCGGGCCCCTTCCATTGCCTCCACTTGGAGACGCGCCTGGGGCCCGTGCATTTCGGGCCTCCTCTCAAGCGGTCGCCACTCGCAGCACTTGAACTTGGTCCGAATGGCGAGCTCCTCGAAGATAGCTGCTGCGACTTCCTTTGGCCGCCTCGATACTTTCCACTTGATCAGGAGGTCGGCGCCGCGCTTGATGGCCGCTGTCTCGACGGCGGCACGAACGCTAAACGCGGCTTTCTGGGAATCGCCGGCAACGCTATTGCCGGGCGTTTCCTCGCTGGCACTCAGGAATGCCTCTCGCACCCCTAGGTCGAGGTACAACTCCGCATGTCTCCCTCCTTTGTCCTCCTTCCTCAGAGTGGCGTAGTCGCGTGGGGCGGCGCCGCGCAAGTAGTGGTGGCGCTGTGCGTAGATGCCCCGGCGCTGGCGATGCGCCTCGAGGTGATGGGGCCACTTGTGTGGCCGGTCTTCTCGAGCATAACCGACATCGCTGATGGGGATCATCCTCCAGTGGCGTTGGCAGCGCCCTGTGGAACCTCGGGGACACAGTCATCGAGCGCTCCATCTGGACCTTGTCCTGCGTCTGCTGCCATAGGCGTCTCGTCACCTTAAACGAACTGGATGACGCGAGTTTTCTTCCCATGCTCGCCGATGAGCACGCGGGCGAACATCATCTGGCCCTGAGGGGTCCACCAGATGACTGGGCTGCGGGCGCAGCCCGGCCAGTCGCCCAAAGATTCCTGGCCGCGTAGTAGACGCGTGGCACGGACGTCTGGAAGCTGAGCACATCTGCGGGATACGTGGCGCAGAGATTTGAGGATGTCTGGGCGTTGCCGCGTCTGCGCGGTGGTGTGCGCGCCCCTCGCGCCTCCCGAAGGCCGAATGTCCTGGCGCCTGACCGTGGCATGGCGTGCTCCAGGAGCCGAGAGGTGCCTGGCCAGGCCCGCGCGCGCCAAGCCGGTGCCCGCGTCGCCGAAGACGGCGCGGATGAAGGGCCGGGCGTCCTGCAATCGGCAGACCGCGTCGGCTCGTCGGTGCCTGATTGCCACCTTGCCTCGAGCCGGATCTACGGATGCGACCGCCCCAGGGCCCGCCCAGCCCGACGCGTCCTTCATGCTCCGGGGGCCTGTGATCTACACCTGGTCGCCGACGTTGAAGCGACCCTATCTGGACTCCGTGGCGCGAGTGTCAGGAGGGCGCGGTTGACGCGGGAGATGGACGTGGCCTCGATCATGCGCTGCAGCGCCATCATGTCGATTCGCCGCTGCAGTCGGCTGGGCTGCACATCCCCACCAGCAGAGGGGCCGTCACCAGCGACGTAGACGCCGGATTCTGCATCCTCGTCGTCTGCTTCGAGTGGTGGCAGCAAAGAGCGCTGCTTTCCGAAGACAACGTTCCGCGTTGTAACGCCGCCAACGTGGGTGAAGCCGTTGCCCGCGAATGCCGCGCGAGCAAGCATGGAGTCGAAGCTGGCCGTGATACCTCCGCTCTCCAGCTGCTCCTCTGCGGCGTGAACTGCGCGTCGCAGCGCAGCCCCGCGTCGCCCGATGGAACGAGCGTGCTTTCGAGGAGCTAGGATGCCCGCCTGGGCCCCTCGCCTCTTCATTCCCTCCACAGAGAGCGTTCATGTCCGTCCGCCTTCCCCGTCCACGACGAACGTTTCCATCGCGCCAAACATCTAAATCCAATAACAGTTTGTGGCAACAAGCAGCGTCGAGTCATGCTTTGAGTCGACCCCCTGACCCTTGCGCCGCCGTGCCCTGGGGCGCATCGGATCAGA